ATTCTACTACTAAATATTCTGTTTTAACATATAAAGCAATTTACAAAGAAATTAAAATTTGGAGGAAAAAAAGGAGATTAGCCAAAGACCATAAGATTTAAGGAACAAAACAGTGGTAAGATTCCACAGGTTTTTTTTAGTTTTTCTTTATTTTTTGTCTTATATATTCCAGAGGCAAAACTGAAGAATCCAGCAACAAAACAAAACAAAACAAAAAAATACTTAGAAATGCCAATATGTTCAGGAAAAAGGAAAAAAAAAATCCAGCTCTCAAAATATTGAGCAGGGGCTTAACAGCATAAAGGCCAAACAAGGAAAAGACAGGTTTGTAGTGAAATGCAAGGATCTGTTTTAACATCCCTGTGGATGTGATGTCCAAGAACACCATGTTACAATGGCACATATTTCTTCCCTCCCTTCTGGTAATAAACCTTTGTCACATTACACAGTGTCAAAGGAAGCCAGATATAGAGCCTGGAAGTCCATCTTGAGATAGTAATGGGGGCCCTTCTCCATGTCTGCTGAACTATGGTCAGATAATGGCAGTGCCCAGTCATAAAGAGTCCATCCCACTTCAGTGTTGACCATGATGGACCACGTGAGTTGCTGGCATCATTTACTTCCATTTAACTGCCAACTGCATGGTGATGAAGTGTTGTGGTATCCATGGAGACCAAGTGGAAAATCTGGACTTCTACTTCCACCTTGCAGTAAAGAGGCACTTTCTTCTTCCATGACAGAGAAAACCAATTGAAACATAAAAAAGTAAAATTCATTGTCTCATAACATAACACAAAACATCTAGTTTTCAAATAAGAGAAAGAAATCAGACTAAAAATAATTTTGATGACTTTTATTTGACATGCCAAGAATGAGTAAATCTATAGAGACAGAAATTATTGATTGCATAGAGCTGAGGTGAAGAGTGTCAAAGGCAAAGGAGAACTATTAACAGACAACATTTATTTTGACTCTCATTTCTATTGCTTTGAAAGGCAAACTAAAGTGTTGAGCTGTCAATCATAGAAATAGATCTGACTTCACATTTTATTATTATTTCAAGTTTTGTTTCATGCAAATTTGTTGAAATTTATAGAATATCATATGAAATGGTTTACTACCATCATCATGGAAAAATATATAGTTAAGATTCACTGAAGACAACATGAGCTTCTGCAATAATGTGACCCAGTGGGGAGTGTAAGAACACCACATGTCCTGCTGAAGGGTGCCCC